ACAATTATCGAAGGGTGTGTAAGAGAAATTTATCACATGTAACATAAGAGTAGTTTTTTCCAACATAAAATTATTAATGTGTCATTTATTTTATAATTTAGGTTTTTGAATTAGTTTTTGAGAAAAGTGTGTATCATTTTAAATGATATAAATGTGTGTCATTTTAAGTGAGAGAAAGAGATAGATAAAGGAGGAGAGAGTGGACAAAAAAATATAAAGGTGTGGGTCCCACCTTTTTGTGAGAGTGAAAAGATATAAGTTGTGTCATTTAAAATGACTTTTCCCTTGATTTTTTACGTATGATCTCTTTGATTTTTTTATTTTACTAAAAAATAATTAAATATTATATAGTTTCTTAAAGCCTATTTCGGACATCTTTTTTAAGATTAAAGGTATTTTTAATTAAAGTTAAACAAAAAGAGTTTAAAAAATAAAACTAAAAGTTGTTGGATAATTATATAAAGTTATTCTTAGGATTTTGAAGGGAGGGAGATGAAATGATTTGTTATTAAAATAAAGGGAAATGTGTTTTTTATGTTCCACGAGACAATTTGTCTCATGCAACACACAAAAAAGTGAATGTGTTCACTTTTTTTCTTTCTCTCTCTTCTTCAAAGTGGGCCCTACCCACTTTTTTGTGTGTTGCATAAGATAAATTATCTCATGCAACATGAGAAAAATCAAATCCTAAAATAAATTATAATGATAAATGATAAAATTCATAAATAAAAATTTAGAATAAAAATATGATGAAAAAATAAATATGAGAATTAAAAAAAGGTGACATAAATCTTAAAAGAAAGTTACTCCTATGAGTTTTTAATTTTTAGCTTTTTTCCTATTATAAAAAAGCTCTTTTTATGATAATTTTTTTTTTATAAAATATGTTTAGCTAAATTTATATTTACAAAAAGAAGATAAGCTAAAAATAACAACTCCTCAAACTTTATGTAAATGGTCATTCACCAAAAAAATAAAAAAAAACCTTTATGCAAATACAAAACTAATCATGTCGGGTTTAGTGTTTCTTATTTTATAAGATATAAATTCATATTCTACATAATCATAAAAATCGAGTCTCATATTTTATCTTCTCTTCACATTGATCCACATAAGCTCCATGTGCTTTAATGTATATAGAAAATAAATTTATATTCTATAACATGAAAAATATTAAACCCATTAATATAACCTTCACCGAATATTATAAAATTTTGGATTAAATTAATTTTTGACTTCCTTACCCAATCATATGCTAATGGAAATAGATCATTTTATATGGAAAAAATCTATGATATAGTCATGTGAAAAGATTATAATTATACAAAGGTAAATTAATTGTAATTTCATAAGTATTCATTTTAATATTTATTTTTTCATCATTAATTTATTTTTATATAATTATAATTTCTCACATAATCATATTATTTTTTTTAACATGAGAGAATGTAATATGGAAAAAACTATTCTTATGTCACATGATATAAATTTTCTCTTCTATACACTCTTCGATAACTGTGTCATTTTTTTTTTTTTCAGGTGGTGAAATCCACTAATTTATCTTTATAACATGAGATAACTATTTCATTTAACATAAAATTAATAAAAGTCATGTAATATTGAATGGGTATCATTTTTTAGACTTAGGAGCTGGCGTGTCTCAGTCTCATCTCAAATGGCAGAGATATGGAAATAATAACAACGCCGACCATCTTTTGAGCCTAGAATTATGGATAAGTAAGTACAATACAATTATGTGGTTGTAGAATATACTCATAAATTTTTATTTCTTTAATTAATGTGTTTACCAAGGCGATTCAGATACTCACTTTGCACGACACACGCCACTCAATATGCGTCCAAACGTCCAAGAATAAATGGTTTACTATCGTAAAGTCGTTGGACGCTGTGACTAAACTGACTTAGAAAGATCATCACTCATACACGAATAGACAAGTATTTTTTTAATTTTTTTTTAATCTAAATGCCGGTGGTCCAAGGTTCAGATAAAACTTGAAGTTTCAGGATACGCTTAAAACACACACCTAATAAATTTTACATACACTCATTCTGTCAATTCATAATTGGGCAGAATAACCTAATATGGGATTTAATGCAGTGGTCCCCTGAATCTGGATTTGCATTTATTTAAGTTTCTTTCTGCAATAAAACACTCAAAAGTGACATATTCCTAATTCAAAGTGATTGACTTGCCTCCCTAATGGGATATGGCTTTGATAATCCTCCGAAATACAAATTTGTCTTATTGATCAATATTAGATTTCCCTTATCTTGCATTACGTTTTGAGAATTAAAAAAATGACTATCAATGGAATTAGAGAAAACAAACAAGGGGACAATTTCATTTTCATGGATATACAGCACTTTCGCACCTCAAAATCAAAATGGCCAACGATGGGGCTTTTCATTATTCTATTCATCTACAACATGTTGCAGCCATCTGTCACGGTAACAAAAACCAAACCCATTTGTGCATTTATTTATTGGTTGCGTTCCCTTTCTTGTCCGCAATTTTTTTTAAGTCTCCTACAGTGACACCGCCCTATCATTCCCCTCAATCAACAATCCATTATTTTTTATTGACAAGTGGACAAATCCTACTGGACTAACTATGAACACCATGAAGCTCTGTTGTCATCATATTGTCACGTGGCTTGCAAATCTACCATCAATGTTTCCACCAGCAAGTGAGCGCCAGATATTTCTGCAACGTGTCAACCGCTGATGCCATCCAAATCTATAGAACCTCAATAATTCATTCATTATTATTACAAAAAAATTAGGTGGTTTTTTTCAAATTTTTTGACGGGGGACTCTCTCTCCCCCAACATCGATCAACTTTTCTATGGTAATACTTAATTTCATATTTCGTGTACTCAAAGCATTAAACTCTTTTTTCTCAAGGATAAATTTAATACGTATAATTAAACCTTTGATTCTGGAGTCAAATCCGCGTTTTACTTCGACGTTATATATTCATGATATTTTTTTATTGGCTCACCAACTTTACACCCGCATTTAGGGCTGTGCATGGGTCAGGTCGGGTCAGGTTTTTGTCCGACTCGATTCAACTTGGTTTTAATAGGTCAGGTATTTTGACCCGCCCCGCTTTAATTTGATCCAAGTCAGGTCTGACTTGGATTGGATTTTGTTGAACTAGTTCAGAACCAGTTTGGATCTGACCTGACTTGGTTTCTGAAGTGGGTCTGACTTGGTTTCTGAACTGGGTCAAATCTGACATGACCCGTTTTTGACTTGGTTTTCTCACAAAATTTTGTCGAAATTTTTACGTTGCAAAAGACGGAAATTTCGTCACAAAATTAATTTTTCGTCAAAATTTTTACAAAAAAAAAATTTTCTATTGAAATTTAGTTTCCGTCAACAGTTTTGACGAAAATGATTTCTTCCATCAAATGTTTTAAACGAAAAAAGAATTTTGTCAAAAAATTTAACGAAATGTTTTTCGTTCAAAATTTCGATGGGAATGTGTTTTGACGAAAATTATTTCGAGGGAAATGCTTCATTTGAAACTTTCGACGAAATTTAGATTCTCTAAAGAATTTTGACAGAATATTTTTTTCGTCAAAATGTTTTTTTTGTCAAAAAAATTTACGGAATTTTTTTATAGAAATGTGTTTCGTGGAAAATTTTGATGGAAATTTTTTATCAAAAAACTTGACGAAAATATTTAGTTGAAAATTTTCTATGGAAATGTGTTTCGCTAAAAATTTCGACGAAAATTTTTTTTTGTCAAAAAATTTAACGAAAATTTTTTCGTCGCAAACTTTTGCCAAAATTTGAAATCTGTAAAGAATTTTGATGAATATTTTTGCCGTTGAAATTTTTTGCCGTCAAAATTTTTTGATGACGAAAATGTTTCCGTCAAAAACTTTCGCCAAAATTAGAAATCTGTAAAGAATTTTGATGAAATTTTTTGCCGTCAAATATTTTTGATGACGAAAATATTTCTGTCGAAAACTTTCGCCGAAATTTGTGTAAAGAATTTTGATGAAATTTTTTGCCGTCGATATTTTTTGCCGTTAAATTTTTTTGATGACGAAAATGTTTCCGTCGAAAACTTTCGCCAAAATTTGAATTTTGTAAAGAATTTTGATGAAATTTTGTGCCGTCAAAATTTTTTAATGACGAAAATATTTCCGTCGAAAACTTTCGCCGAAATTTGAAATCTGTAAAGAATTTTGATGAAATTTTTTGATGACGAAAATATTTCCGTCGAAAACTTTCGCCAAAATTTGAAATTGTAAAAAATTTTGATGAAATATTTTGCCGTCAAAACTTTTTGATGACGAAAATATTTCCGTTGAAAACTTGCGCAGAAATTTGAAATCTGTAAAATTTTTATGAAAATATTTTCCATAAAAAATTTTGACGTAATTGTTTTACGTTAAAACTTTTCTTTTAATGTAATTGTGATTTTTTTTTTTACATAATGGGTATGAGTCAAGTTTTGGGTCAGTGGGTCAATATTAAAACGAGTCAGGTCTAAAACTGACCCAAATAAAAATGGGTCAGTATTTAAACCAGTTCAAAAAATATGAGTATTTATGGGTCGGGTCAAGGTCGGATCAAGGGCAGGACAAGTGAACCAGTTTTTTTGCACAGCCTACCTGCATTATGGCTTGCCCTGTATTTACAACATGTTAGAAGAGCTGAAGAGGGTTCATTGAAACTTGACAGTATAATCTCTTCTGTGTTAATTTTATGCTGTTCTTTAGTTAAGGTGATAACATTTTTTATTTAAAGTGGTAATTGAATTTTAATATAAATTTAATAATTCTAGTAGACTAGGACAGCCCAACTTCTCTATTATTAATCATTTAATTGTTTATATATAAAAAATAAATAAATTCACCCTGATATATATAAGTATATATATTGTGATTTGTCCACCTGTTGGATGATCATAATGCCATCATATCCTCATATCAGTTGTAAGTTGATTATAGTTTCTGTCCGTTCTCTTCCTCATATCACTGCATGTTCACTGCTAGCTCCTATTTGTTCCTCACCGCACACTCAATCGTTTGAAACAAAAAGAGATAACGACTAGTCATTTTCTATATATTTTCAGACACTTTAGTCACTCTCTCTTAATACAATAAGCTTAAAGTTAAACCATATATTTTCTTCTTACTCGCTCGAACTATCTAGACTGGCTGGGTTTTTTTTGTATATATGTGTATGTGTGCAAGCTGGTTTATATAATTCATCAGTTTCTTTAATTAAGAGTACTAAGCATCATCGACTTGAGCTGACACTGAGGATATAAATTAAACAGAAAATGGGAGTACAAGGAACTTTGGAATACTTCTCTGATTTACTCAGCAGCACAAAAAAGAAGAAGAAGAAGCAAACCCAAACCGTGGCTCTGAAAATCAGAATGGATTGTGAAGGCTGTGCTCGCAAGGTTAAGCATGTCCTTTCTGGAGTTAAAGGTACTTTTTCTTATTCTTATATATTCTTCAATCTCCTGTATATATATATATATCATTTGCATGGTGCTGTTATGATCTAGCTTCTTAAAAGTTTAAATATGAACAGGAGCTAAGTCGGTGGATGTGGATTTGAAGCAGCAGAAAGCAACAGTGACTGGATATGTAGAGCCAAAGAAAGTGCTGAAAGCTGCACAGTCTACGAAGAAGAAGGTTGAGCTGTGGCCGTATGTTCCGTACACTATGGTGGCTCACCCTTATGTTTCTCAGGCCTATGATAAGAAGGCACCTCCTAATATGGTGAGGAAGGTCGCTGACACTTCCAATATATCAGAGACCACCGTCGACGACACCTACGTACAAATGTTCAGCGATGAAAACCCAAATGCCTGCTCTATCATGTAATTTTATTAACATCATTGATTAGTTACTAATTAAGATATATATATTGATTAGTTACTAATTAAGATATATATATATATATATATATATATATATATATATATATATATATATATATATAAAATATGGGCATGGTTTTGTACTTTGTGTAGATTATTATATGATATATATCACTTTTTGCATACAGCTTTGACTAATTGACTATGATGATTGATTGTTATGTGATGTCTCATACTCTCATTATCTTAATCTTAAATGATTGTTCGGTGGGAAGCTGGAGCAGAGTTGAAATGGAACACACAGATCGTGTTCGAATTAATTTTTAAATTAATTATTTTCATGAATAATATCATTTGTCGTTTCATCGTGGAATAGATGTATTGTTTGTCATTTAAATCATGGTCTTATTTTTTTTATAAATAAATAGAAAATTAGAATTTTAAAACTAGTTTTTTCTCTTAATTAATTTTATACATTTTTTTGCCTTTGCATTCTTTTATTTTAGTGCAATTCGCAGATATAAATTGAGTTCAATAAATTAAGCTATTAAATATAAAAGTATGTCACGAGAATAGAAATAACCATTTTATACCGAAAGACTATTATCTACGAATCTTAGGTATTATAAAAAGGATAAAAGTGTCTTAATTAAGAACAAAATGTCTAACATTGAAATTAAAGTTTCTTATTACATTTATATATTTTAATACGATACCATTTAATTTTATGTATTGCATATTTTAATTTCTTACGGTAGATTGTGTATATTGTTTCAGCAGTTTTTTAAACACAAATTAATCTCTCAATAATGATTTTAACTAGAGGTGGCAAAGTGGGCGTCGAGCCCTGTCATCAATCTGTCAAAAAATGAGTCAGCTTGTTCCGTCCCGCTTTTGAAAGTGGGCTGAAAAACTCAGACCGTCCTGCCCCGTTTGGCGAGTTGGGCGGGTTGGCGGGCCAACCCGAGCCTATTTTACACTGACCTGCCTCAGCTCGCCTATGCCCGTCATCAACCCGCTAAAAAATGAGTCCCCCTCACTCCGCTTTTGAGATGGGTTGAAAAACTCAGCCCACCCCATTCCATTTGACGGGTTGAACAGGTTGGTCCACCGAGCCAAGTCCGTTTTGCCGGTTCTAATTTTAACATCATTTTTCTAATATCGATGTCGAGGGACAGCAACTTGCGCCTAATTTGTCGTTGTCACATTTTCCTGTTATTAACCGTCACGTTTGTTAGCACTTCTGAAATGATTTTCAGCAAGGTGGTTTGGTTTTATGTGATTAGTCTTTGCCTCAATCACGTAGAACAATTGGTTTTGCTGGTTTTCTTTTCCGGTAAGCACTTCTGCTGGCAAACAAGTAATCCTCTATTTAGAATAATTGTCATTTAAAATTCAACATAAAAATTGGAATTCTATTAAATGTATTTAATGTTTAAAATATAATTAAATTATTCTTTTTTATTAATATTCTTTCTCGTTTTATTTAGTATAGATAATAGGAACTAAACATAAATTTAAAAACAATTTATATTGTTACAAAAAAAATTTATATTTTCTTAATTTTTTAAATGATAAGTTATTTAAAAAAACTGAAAATTTCAATCAAAGTGACATAATATTAACTATTGTCTTTAAAAACTACTTCTATCTTAAAATAATCGTCAATTTAAATATTTTATTTTATTCTAAATTGTTTTTCATTTTTTTTTAATTTATTCTTATCTTTTAGTATTTTTACAAAGTAAAATATGAGAAAACATTAATAAAGTGAAAGAGTAATTTAGTCAAAAGAATTATATTTTTCTCGGAATTAAGGACATTTGATTATTCTTTAATTCTTAACATAATAAAACCTAGAAAAATTATTAATTTAAACAAAAAGCTAATTTCTTGTTGAGAGCATATATAAACGCGGATTAAAGAGTATCATGCCAGTTTACCAAAAACAAAAGAAAAGAGAGTACATGCCTTTTAGCGAGCATGTATAGAATTCCTAATAAAATCAGGATTTGTTTTAACGTTATATTACTTAAACTTTGATTAAAGACAATACTACTAGAAATAATTTTCTTTACTAGAAATAAATTTCTTTCTTTTCTCAGAAGATTGTTCTTCTTCTTCTTTTAGTTTATTCTCTCGCATTCCAAAATGGCATCTTTTTAAACATCAGTTTTCTTTGTAAGAAGATATTAAGTATTATTTGTACAATGTAATCATTTTCAGATTTGAGTAAAATATAAAATGTAAATAAAATAAAAACATACTTAAGAGAAAAAATATTTGAAATTTAAAAAAAAAAAGAGGTTATATTTACAACCTTTTTCACTTACAATCAAATCTTAACTGTTAATTTCTGTAAATCTAAAGGTTATAATTTATCAAAAATTAATTAATAATTAATAAATATGACCCAATAAATTATAACCATCAGATTAACGAAAATCAACGATTAAGATTTGATTATAAGAGGTTGTAAGCGAAAAAATGTTGTAAATATAATTTTTCTCATAAAAGAAATATATAATTAATTTAAGATGATTTAACTTTTATTTTATTTAAAAAAAAGAAAATATTTTTTTTAATAAAATCATAGTTTTAAGGTGGTTATCAAAAACAAAAAAAAAATAAGTTTTTTAATAACCTCCAAAAAAAAAAATAAGTTTTTTAATTTCTAGAAAAAATAATAATTTTAATTCTTTTTTCATGGATGAAGAAGAATAAATTCTAAGAAAAAGGTGGTTATAAAAGTACTATTTTTCGAAACCTTACCTAGAGGCACCCTAACTCATTATAAATCTCCATAATTCATGAGATTTAAGAAAGTTATTGATTCTTTTATACTATTATAGAATTATGTATCATTAATTAAATTATAAAAAATCTAACTATCACGCCATAATTGAAGATTTTAAATCTTTTGATAAGGTGTCAGTGCAACATTTAACAATAATAAATTTGTTAATGAATCAAAGTGGAAGTGTCAACACGGGGTAGAATAGGACCGTAGAAGTTTTACCATTTCACTCTATTTATTAATTTCTAACACATGGAAATAGCATGAATAGAGGGTAAGATTATACCCAATGGGTGCAGCTCAGTTGGTAACTTGGCGCTGAGTTAGTGGGGTTAAATATGTGTTCGATTCTCGCTGAATGCATTCTTGGCGAGAAGGCTGAACCTTTAGCCATCACTGTTCCCCCGCACTCTAGATTAGTCTCATAACCGGCTCAAAGAGTCGAAGCTCGTGGGGATACCGGAGGGAGCCAACTCGTCTCAAAGAGATAATTAGGATTGGGTAACTCAAAAAAAAAAAAGGTAATATTATATATACAGTCTTTTGTGTCGGTTGTAATCTACACATTAAGTCCCTTCACACAGCAGGGAGATAAGGTAAAAATATAGAAGAAAGAAAAAAGTTGTGACCGACCTTAATTTGACCAATAGCTTCAGTCTTTCTATCCCTTTAACCACTCTGCACTTTACCTAAAAGTGGGAAGAGGGCGGAGAAGAAAGAAATTGACAAAGTGGATAACTGGATACGTTACGTATGATGAATGCCTTAATTTTCAGTTTTCTGTATATATTTTTTAACTAGTCTCGCATGAAACTGATTATTTCATGGGGTAAGATATTGTTATTATCAATTAATGTTATTGTTAATGTTACTATCATATCGTTGATTTTCACCAATCAATAATTATTATTTATTGCGAATTAATAATTAATTAATAAATTTAATTTATTGATATAATAACCGTTGATTGACAAAAATCAATAATTAAAATATGATAATTACATTATTTGATAGTAACAATATGCTATCTCTTATTTTATATGTTTGGTTGATCATAGTACTTTTTTCATCCATATTTACATCATATTATTAAATATAAAAAATTATATCTAAAAGTTACTTTTTGATGGATAACATAAAGTACAAAATATAATTAAGTTCCCAAGACCTACTAAAAGGTTAATTCTAAGACTTAATTATTATAATTTAAACTTAAATCCTTATATTCTCCTCTAAAATTGAAGAGTAAGGACATTCTCTTACCTTATAAATAACTTTGAAATAAATGACATAAATATTATAAATATTTATAAAAGGTGGAATATGCAACAATGTTAATCAAAATAATATCCAGTAAACTCCATATAAGAGGTATTATTAAACTTAGCCAAGTATTACGTCTGCAGTGAATCTATGATTTTAAATAATATAATACCAAAACTTGCTAATATTATATTTGTAGTTTATCCTTATATACATGTTGCATTACATTTATGGGTTTATCTAGTCCGCACGAGAAAATGAATCTTATGCATAGATACATAATAGAGGGGCCCATCACTTAAAAAATAAAAATAAAAGAAAAAAATTACACGATTATCAAAATGTGTATAAGAAGAAAAATTTATATCATGTAACATGAAAATAATTTTTTCAAAAGCATACGGCTAATTAATTAAGTCTTAACCCAAATTGAAATGTATCAAGACACAGTTGCCAATCAACTGATAATTAATTAATTATTGCGTGTAAGTGGAATTAAGTAATGGAACATGATTGAGTTGGGGTTTTGTAGGGTCGGAGGGCTAACTTGCTAGCTTTGATTCATGATTCTTGTTTGTCACAAACATGCTGCTTCTGGATGGCACCGCGTATTGTTGATGGACTGGGCTTGACTTCAGACGTTACCTGAATTGAACCAATAACTGAAAAATTATCCCTTCCTTAACCATGAACTCAGCTCCTCTCTCTATAGTACACCAATCCATAAGCCCAGGCCCATCCCAATATAGAAAAAAAGTGCTTTGTTGTTAGTTGCAAGCTTTTAACTTTTTCATAGGAAGACTGATTGTTTGTTTGAAAAAAAATAAATTATGTTTAAAATATGTTATAATTAAAATTTTATTTTGAGAGTTTTGTAAAAGATAAGTTATTTTTTTTGTTTCAAAATCAAGCATGCATGGAGAATTGTCAAATTCTTTTTTTTTTTTTTTTTTGGAATTTCTCCGTTAGTCTAGTTCACCCATAAAAAAAATGTCACATTTCAATGATTTCATGTTCTTTTTTACCCAATAAGAAATGGGTTTTGTATCTATAATTTAACATGACCACAACAACTTTCCTACACACACAACATTTTGTGGGACCCACAATTTTTGAAACCAAAAAAAAAAAAAAAAAAAAACTCTGGCACGCAAAACGAATCTCTATAACATAACACAATCATTTTTCCTACAACATAACTCTTATTAAACCCATAAGAAATTTATATCTTTCAGAAACTACCTTACGCAGTTACCCACAACACTTACGCGTCAGCATTATTAACAATAGACCGATACCACATCACGGCGCACGCGTATTACTTTCCAAGTCCTAGCTAGCTAAGTCTATTCAATAATTTATTTATTTTTTTTAATTATCATAGCTTAGAAGAATAGAAAAAAAAAACGGAAATAGATGATATAAAAATTCATTCTTTGATGTATATGAAATTTTGAACCCTCTACTCATAATTTTTTTATTAATATAAATTATAATCTAAGGTGGCAAAATAGATCGACACGATACAACTAGAGGTGGCAAAGCGGGCTGCCCCATGCCTGCCAAAAGCCCGCCAAAAAGCGGGCTGGCCCGCCCCGCCCCGCCATTGATGGTGGGCTAGATATCTCTGCCCGCCAAGCCCGTCACATTTTACACTAAAAATTAAAAAAAAAAAAATCAGCCCGGGCGGGCTGGCGGGCAGCGGGTTTAGAAAACTCAGCCCGCCGGGCTCGACCCATTTTGCCAGCTCTAGATACAACACATGAATTTGACACAACATGAATACACGCAACACGAACAAGGTCTGAATTTTTATTTGTGTCAAAATCTTCAGCACGAACACAACACGAATTTTTTGTAAGTTGACATGATACGAATAACATACAAAACTATGAGACAAAATAGTAGTTGACAAAATAAAAATAAAAAAATGGGTTGAAATAAAAAAAATATGGGTCAAATTCGTATTGACACGACATAACTTGCGTGTCATTTTTTCAATGCAAATATGACACAATTTTTTTTGTAGGTCAATCCGATCACTAATTTTTGTGTAGTGTCTAACATGTTTTGAAATCCCTTAAAATACATACTTAGATGAATAGATACATATAAAAAAAAAAAAGTGTTACCTTGTCCCAAAGATAGGAGATGAACTAACGACAACCCGAATACTCTCTTGGCGATGTTCTTAACGTTTTGGAGGGGAAGAGGAGGATATAATTGAGTAAATATCTTTTTTAGTTCCTAATAAAAAATACGGTCTTCACTTTAGTCTCTTACAAAAATAAATTAGTCAGTTAGTCCTTAAGAAATTTAAAGTAGACCCATTTAGTTAAAATCGTGGTCCCTCACAAATTTAAAAATGACTCATATTAGTTCCTCAAAAGGACTAAAATGGGTTCACCTTGAATTTGTTAGGGACTAATTGACTAATTTATTTTTGTAAGGGACTAAAGTGGAGACCGTGTTTTTTGTTAGGGATCAAAAATAGTATTTATTCAATATAATTTGTTACTATAAATAAAGAATAAAATTTGTAAATACAAATTTAAAATAAGAATTCTATTGAAAAATAAATTTGAAAAATCCCAAAAGTTTTCGTCCATCTAAAAAATTTAATTAAAAACTCTTTTTATAATAATAACTTTTATAAATATATGTTTGACTAAATGTTCTTCTTTTATGAAAAAAAAATCTAAAGAAAATATCCGCTAAATGGGTACTCGATATAATTTTTTACCAATATTTTTATTATAGTAGCTAATCAAATTATGACATGGAAGGGATTTGATGAATAGTATGGTGATGGTTTCGAAAAACCATCAAAACTTGATCCGCATAAAAGACTCGATACAAGTTAATTTATGGTGCTACTTTAGTGGTGAACACTAAGAAACACCAACAAACCACACATAAACCATTCATAAAATTGGATAAAAGAAAATTAACCCATAATCCATACATATATCACTTAAACACCGAGAAACAATAAACTCATAATAAATACATATTAAATAATTTTTAAATTGAGACAAATCAAATTTGACGAATTAAAATGCAATTTATTAAGTCAAAATTGTATGATATAGGTCGATAATCAATTATACGAGATTTGAAAAAGCCTAATCTTTAATGGGATAGGATATTGTGACACCCAAGTTATGTTACACCCATGTGACCCCCAGTCAATCTCACCGTTAGATCGCTTATGTTGATCCAACGGTTATATTTATTTCCATCTTTGTATGGTCATGATTTCTTAAATTTAATATTTTATATTTATTTCTACCTTTATATGGTTATGATTTCCCATATTTAATGCTTTCACTTTAAATTTGGGAAATCATGACCATACAAAGATGAAAATAAATATAACCGTTGGATCAACATAAGCGATCTAACGGTGAGATTGACTGGGTGTCACATGGGTGTAACATAACTTGGGTGTCACAATATCCTATCCCATTAAAGATTATTGGAAAAACTTCAAAAATTCCTCTATAAGTTTCCTCAAAATCACTTAATCTCCTCCTCAAATTTTTTAATCATTTACCCCCTACTTAAATTTTTTTTATCACTTACCCCCATAATTTAATTTTCCATCCAAAATTTTGTTAACATAGGTTAATTTTTTAAAAAGTACCAAAATTACCCTTAATAGAAAAAAGAAAAACACAATTTTCTCACAAACGCATTTTTATACAAACTCACGTAATCAAGACATGAATGTAAATCAATGATTGAACTCTCCCTCTACTCTCAACAACACAGAAAACAATGAAATGACACTTTTTGCATGTTTGCTTGGTAAAATCATATGATTAAGGAAAAAACAAGGCATATATGAAGCACAAAACGTTAAGTTTTTCAGTTGCTGTGCAAGCAAAATAAAGTGCGGCTCTGAATAAATTTATAAAGTCAGATTTGTTGGTCATATAATAGTAGAAAAGCTTATAACAGAAAAAGGAAGATCTAAACCTGCTGAAATGATGCCTCTTTAATTATTTTATTTGAACAACAACACCAACAATTGTGAGCGAGGTGTTTAATTGCAATGGGACTTGTGGGAAATAATTTTAATAATTATTAATTCTAACAAGGCTACTTTAAAGAAAATATTTTGTGAGTTTGTCTAAAATTTTGTTTTTCTTTTTTCTATTAAGGGTAATTTTGATATTTTTTAAAAAATTTAACTCTATTAACAAAATTTTGGATGGAAAATCAAATTAAGGGGTAAGTGATAAAGAAATTTTAAGTAAAGGGATAAATGATTAAAATTTTTGGGAGGGGGTTAAGTGATTTTGAGAAAACTTGTAGGGTTTTTTTGTTTAAGTTTTCCCTTAATTATTTAAAGACATTGAAGAGATTTGAAGAATAGTATAGTGATCGTTTCGGAAAACCATTAAAACTTGATCCACATAAAAGACTAAATACAAGTTAATTTCTGGTGCCACTATATTGGTGAACACTAATGAACATCATCAAACCACGCAAAAATCATTCATAAAATTGCATAAAAGAAAATTATTCCATAATCCGTACATATGCCAAAACAAAAAAACGAAAGATAGCAAAACTTAAAAAGGATTTGAATTAAACAAGCAAAAAAGATAAACCTAGCTTCAAAATTATTTGAAGAATAAAAAAAGTGAAGCCATGCGAAGTAGGGAGTGATTGATAAATTTGCCTCTCGTTTTAATTTTTTTTTTATCACTTGATCCCTTTCCAAATTCTATATAAATTCATCCTTTCAAATTATATATCAATCTTTTCTACTTGATTAATCTGCTCATTTACTCAATTAAATGTGGAGCAAATATTGGTCAAATAGATATATATTGATATATAATTTAAGAAAAATGATAAATTGATATATAATTTTAAAATGAAATCAAAGGCGATAAATTATTACAATAATGAGGAAAGAAATTAATAAGATGGATCAGTGCTTGTACTCTCGTCGCTTTCGGAATTAGGCTGCTCCTCAAACTCATATGATTGTGGTGAAAGCATTTGGTCATGATGAAGAGGATGCTGGTTATTTTGAATTTGACCATGAGAATTGTCAGCGGTGACCAGAGAAGGTGAAATTAGAGACATGTGGTTTTGAGAAGCAAAAACCTCTTGAGGAGAAATGATATCGTTGAAGGGAAAAAGAGGAAGAGGAGAAGTAGTGGGGGGTAATTGGTGGAAATTGGTAAGAGAAGATGGTGGTATGATAGCCTGCTCTCCGGTGTAGGAGACAAGTACATTCCTAGCATACAAGAGTTGAGTCTGCAATTGTTTCAGTCTTTGTTGGAGAACAGAGACCACACGAAGGCAACCATAGACTGGATCTCGCAGGCGTAACTCTGCCTCATAAACCATTGACTCGACAGCATTTTCACGCTGCGCCGCGTTCACCTCGCTTAGAAGGTTGGCCACATTATTCGCTCCGAACACCTGGTCCACCTTGGCAAACCTCTGTGGGTTGTCAGACGGAAAATACGGCGCGAAAATGCATTCCTGGGTGCATTCTCTGCGCTGATACATGCATGCTGCACACTGAGAATTCGATGACGATGACATAGTTGAACAAATGAACACTGAAACACACAAGATGGGGCTGCTTGTTGGTAACAATAACATATGTTGCCTTCTCTAATCAATTTAAATAGCAAATAAAATAGGGATAGGATATTGTGACACCCAAGTTATGTTACACTCATGTGACACCCAATCAATCTCACCGTTAGATCGCTTATGTTGATTCATCGGTTATTTTTATTTCCATCTTTGTATGGTCATGATTTTCCAAATTTAATATTTTATATTTATTTTTACCTTTTTATGGTCATGATTTTCCAAATTTAATATGAAAAATCATAACCATAAAAAGGTAGAAATAAATATAAAATATTAAATTTGGAAAATCATGACCATACAAAGATGAAAATAAATATAACCGTTGGATCAACATAAGCGATCTAACGGTGAAATTGACTGGGTGTCAAATGAATGTAACATAACTTATGTCACAATATCCTATCCCAATAAAATATGGGAAATACTACGCTCATTTCACGTGATAAAATTATCTCATTTTTTTTTCTATCCTGTGACGGTGGGCCCACGAGATTTCTTTTTGTAATATGAAAGAACTATTCTCATGTACAATGAAAATAACATTCCATATAAAATATTTCCCCTTTTTTCAAATTTCTAATTTTCATGAGAGTGAAGATATTCTAACTATCAAAAATTCTTACTACTAATTTACTACCCATCACATTACCATTGGATTAAAGAGAGAATGTTAAAAAGTTTTTGAAGAGAGAGAAAATGTTAATCTAACGATGATTAGATAGGTAGTAAGTTGACAGTGAAAAATTTTAGTAGTGAGGATATCCCTCCATGTACTTTTTACTTTTTTTTTTGGGGGTAGTAAAACAGGGAATAAGCCTAGAGGTGACAAAGTGGGCCGCCCCCCGCCCCACCCCACCCCGCAATCAACCCGCCAAAAAATGAGTCAGCCCGCCACGCCCCGCTTTTGAAAGTGGGCTGAAAAACTCAGCCCGCCCCGCCTCGTTTGGCGGGTTGGCTCGCCAGCCCGAGCCTATTTTACACTGACCCGCCTCGACCCGCCTATGCCCTCCATCAACCTACCAAAAATTGAGTCCACCCCGCCTCATTTGACGGGTTGGCCCGCCGAGCCGAGCCGAGCCCGTTTTGCCAGCTCTAAATAAGCCCAATACTTTTCACTTTTTTTTTTTTCAGTACAAATTCTTTTCACTCTTTACAGGGTACATAAATCAAATCGAATCGAATCCTCATCTATCATTAATCATGACTTTTTATGGAAAAACATTAACGTTTAATACTTCATATTAAGATATTAACTATATATATATGCCACGGATTTGGTAATATATCATGAGAAATTATTCGAAAAGATTAATATACTGTCATATAGATAATTTTCATGTAGGTACTGTATTCAAGCTAATTCGTATAGTATTTGTCGAGTAATTGAAAAAAGGAAAATGTAAAATAAACCATATTCCTTTGATTTGCAGCTTGATTGAGGGGAAGGAGGATTTGTTCGATCAAGTTTTCAATGGTCATTTAAAAGCAATTAGTGCGATTTCATGATCGGTAGCATCTTGCATCACAACCATAAATTATAATAAAATTATCATGAATCGAACTCATAAATACAAAATCAATCACTCTTAATTAGAACCCATAAATATAATATAATTATAATTATATAAGGGTTCGTTTTTTCGAAAGTAAATGCAGATAAATTATATGCATTAAGTCTAAAACGACGTCGTTTTGGGACGAAAATTAAGGTATTTTTGTAATTTTAATTTATTTTAAGAGTTATAATAGTTTTTATAATTATAATTTTTTAATATTTCAACACTAAAATGACATCATTATGGGAATAAACGTAGATAATTTATCTGCAAGTAACTGTAGAAACATTTTTCTATTATATAATCAATCAATTATAATAATTGATATATTAATATTACACGATTACCATTGATATCAATAATTCATGGTAATTGATAATTACCATTATTTTATTTTTAATATTGAAAAATGATTTAAAAATTTACCAAAATTGATATTTACTATTCATTAATTACTAAAATTAATAATTAATGCCAACTCGTCTCAAAGAGATAATTAGGGTTGGGTAATTCCAAAAAAAATTAATAATTAATAATTATATCACTAAAACTATAACTTGTAATTATTTGCACTCAATTTTCTCTACATGAATTTACACAATATTTTGGTCCCTTAATTAATTATAAAATACACAAATCTTATATATATATAGAGCGAGAGAGAGAGAGAGTTGTAGGATCCTTTGACACTAGTGTTAAATTTAAAAATTCACACCTCATCTGAGATTCGTTAGATAAAAAAAGATTAATAGTGTCACATGCTTACAAATCAGAGTCGTTGATCTTTTTTGATCTAATGGCTCTGATGAGGTGTCAAATTTCAAATTTGACACTGGTGTCAAAGGATCCTACCTCACCAGTGTCAAATTTGAAATTTGACACATCATCTTAGAGCTATTAGATCAAAAAATGACTCTGATTTGTAAGCATGTGACACCATTGATCATTTTTGGTCGAATGACTCTCAGATAAGGTGTCAAACTTATAAGTACACTATCATATATGTGTCAGATGAAGAAGTTGGACACTCTCTGGCGGATGAATGGTACTATATTATGTGTGTCAGATGAATATTGTACCATTCATCCGCCAGAGAGTGTCCAACTTCTTCATCTGACACATATAAGTTTAAAAGCGCGCACGCGCACACACACGCGCACACACACACACACACACACACACACATATATGCAGCAGGATCCTTTAACATCGGTATTAAACTTTAAAATTTGACATCAAATTCTAACCGTTGATTTTGGCCATCGGTGCCAAATGATCCTATCCCTATCCCTATCTATATATATATATATATATGGGAAAAAGAAGAATAATGTCGTAGGAGAGTTGTTAGGTTATGTTATAAAGATAGGGATTGTGGGACCCACACTTAGTTTTCAAAAAACAAAAAACAAAAAACAAAATGAGTGTGAGGCCCACAATCTCTATCTCTATAACATAATTTAATAACTCTTCTACAACATTATATTTCTATTTCTTTATATATATATATGGTAAAATCATTTCTCATGCTGCTTAACGTCCAGCAATGACAAGTGTCACTTGACGTCCATCAACGACAGGTGTATGGATGATTCCCCACATTTAATGATATCACATATATATGGTAAATAATTAACTGCTGGATGTCAAACAATTGGATATATATATATATATATATATATATATATATATATATATATATATATATATATATATATATGTATGGATAAGCATTCTACAGCCACTTTAGATAATGTTATTTACAGCTACCTCAAAACCACATCGTTTTAATTAATGAAGGGTGTTTCCGTAATTTTAGATGAATTAGTGAAGGGTGTTTCTGTAATTTTGTTTATTTTTTATCATATGTATTTTACTGAAACACCCCTCATTAATTCACCTAAAATTACAAAAACACCCTTCATTAATCAAAACGACGTAGTTTTTGAGGTAGCTGTAGATAGTCTTATCCAAAGTGGCTGTAGAAATATTTTTTCCATACATATATATATATATATATATTCATTAATTTATACTTCATAGACTTACCTTACATTCATTACTATATATAGATAATTATATTTGTTACTTTGTTAAAAAAATTACCAAAAAAAAAAAATCATGCTAATTTATCTCTCCTTCTTTTCATGTTAAGGCATTTTCTTTACCATTTTCTTTTAGGCTTTAATGTTTCTACCAAATAAGTTATCTACATTCACTCTTAAAACGACGTCATTTTGGGTTAGAAGATTAAAAAATTATAATGATAAAGACTATTATAACTTTGGAATAAATATTGATTACAAAAATACCTTAATTTCTATTTCAAAATGATATAATTTTAGGTTCAATGCAGATAATTTATCTACATTCACTGTAGAAATAAATGAAACTTTTGTTTTACATTCACTTTACAATCCTTTTGTTTTATTTTCACTTTACAATGAGGCTTTTCCCACTCATTAGCGTCAATCAACATGATTTAGTAGCATGTACTTACCCGAATTGGCATATGCAACACGAACCACCCCAACATACCAACCCCTTATTTGGGTATAAATGGGCCAGACGGTCTAACAGGGGCCTACGGCCCAGCCTATAATAGATCAGACTCGGCTTATTATATATAATAAAATAGAACAGTTTCTTAGACTTTTAAAAAAGCATATTTACAAAGCAGGTCATAGATTTTCTTTTACATGCCGGGTCTATAAACTTACAAGCTAGCCTATATCGTTTTATTTATTTTAGTAAAATAAATAAAATTATTATTTTAATAATTTTGAATAATAAAGTAATTTTTTTAATTATTAAATATCTAATAGGTTTAAACAGGCTAACAGGCCTAGGCCTGACTTTTGTTTTTTAAATATATGCTAGACCAGATTTATAATTTGGGCCTACACAGGCTAACAGATCTTGTAAGGCATAAAGTATTTTATACAAACTTATTCTATTTAAGTTAAAGCTTAGTCTAACCTAGCTCATTTATACCTGCCGCTTACCCTACATCCTGTGTAATATATAAGGTAAGTTAAGGTGAGTTTATCTATCTCACGTAGGCACGCATACAAAGGATTTGTGTATTCTTATAATAAATTAATGGATTGAAATTTTGTGTTAATTCATTTAGGGAATAATTACTACCATTGGCAGACCTACACTTGTGCCTTTGTCCTTAAGTGCAGACATAAAATTGTGGGGAATTTTTTTTTACAGTTGCTTGTGCACAGTACATGTTAGTTCGAAGTGCTAAAGGATTTCAGGATAGCGTAGCTTTAGCCTCAGCCACCTTACCGACTGTTAGGTTGCAGAGGAGAATCAGGACTGAGAAACTGATCACCTGGTCATGCATCTCAGCCTCCATGGCATCAGAAACTTACATAA